CTTGCTTAATTTGAAAAAAGCGTTAATGCAGTTTAAACAAAGCAGTGTGTTCGTGTTTGTTTTACGCAAAGCAGGTTCGTGCAGGTTTTAAAATTCAGCTTTTCACATAAGGCTAGAATTTTTAAATTAATATTTAAAATAATTAAACTTTTGAAACAGTTATCACAGATTTTTTGAAACAAAAAATTACAGTTATTTTTCCACTACTTCCTCATCCTGGTTTAATTATCGACAGTTCTTAACATGGCTAGATATGAATAAGCTGTCTGAAGCGTCTGCAGACAAGGAAAAAATAAATCAATTTCTTGTTTAGATGTCAAATTATGTTAGTTTTAACCTTAAGAAATGTCTGCATGTCCATGGGAAATGTATCTCTTGCCGACAGGACGAGCGGCTTTGATGTCTGCCTCAGGACAAAAAGCATGTCGGACCTTACTTTTGGAACCATATCCTCCCAATGAGATTCATACAAGGCCGTGCTTAATTGCAAACTCTGAAAAAGAAGCTATTGAATGCCTTATTTTGCATTTCCATCAATTATTTTATGAATATAAAGTGTCAAAATAGCTTAAAGATTACTATAAATATAAAAATGTTAGCAGATTTTGGCGCAATGATGATCATAAAAAAATAGTTAAATATCATTTTGATTTTGAAATACCAACTATTTTCAAAGGTAGTATAGTGTAGAATATATTAATATTAAATTAAAGGTCATCTGTCCCTGTCATTCTGAAGTATCAGACGTAAAGCCCTTTCAAATTCAATGGAATAAATATTTTTATTAAAAGTTGGCAATCGATAATAAAACACATGTATATAACAACCTAGTCATTCCTAAGTTGACGATTGTAAAAATTAAATAACCGAACATAAATATAAACTTGGTCTCACTGTGTCAACGAAAGAAAGTTCAATATTTGGCTGTATAATTCCTGACTGAAGTTTGATAATTTTCTGAACATCGCTGTTAGGTAAATTCAGTTATGTTTTGACTTTGAAACTTATTTAGAAAAGCTTTAGGTAGTTTATAAAATATCAATTGAACATGTAATACCATCAAAGAGAAAAACTGGACAATTGAATTAAAAAATGAGACCATCAGTTGAATTCCATCCTTTCCAAAGCAAACTTGTCGATTTTAAATTGTTTTCTTTGGTGGTTTTCAACGAACGCGGTGTACGACGGTTAATGACGATCGTTTTATTGCTCTTTCAGCTTCCTTGATATATAGACAACCCCAAACGGACTGTCATGTAAGGTTGAGCTTTAAGACAGTCATTCGAATATTTCATGAGATTAGCCTACTCTTTAGACGTCCCGCATCATGTCCTCTACTATTGGAGAACATCGAGTAGAAAGGCGACTATTCTCAAATCAGCATCTCGCTTGGACAATGGAATAATGGGGACTGTTTTCTTCATAGTTGAATGAGCCAGTTTTATTTGTGACAATCAGATGACCTGAACAGTATGAGGAGAAGACGTGTAGAACACTTTGCTTCTTGTGCCATGCATGAGTTGCGGTCTTTAAAAAAATAATCATTTGTGGTATGGGGTAGAATGAACGTACATGCCCGTACCGGAATGAAATTAAGAATGAATCTTTGACTGAACTAAGTTGCATTGAGGAAGTTTGTGGAAGCTATGGCCCCATTCACTCCATTCATTTGGGTCAACGTCGTGCTGATTTTTCCCCCACTACAGTAACCCTGCATTTTTTACCCTAGCCATCCCTAATTTCGTGCTAATGCATGATACGGCTCGACCGCATGTCGCTCGAGTCGTCACCCCCCCACAATTAGGGATTACCACAATGAATTGGCCAGTACGTTCTGCTTACCTGAATCCCATAGAACATTTATGGGCAATGATAAAAAGACACGTTAGACTATTTTATATTACTAATAAAAAGTTATTGGCAAAAAACTTAAAAATTATTACAATTAATTTAGGTTTTTAGTTGAGATAAAGAAGTTAATGGCACGAGCGGGATTCGAACCCACAATCTTCGGCTGGATACGCCTAGACATGGGAAGTTGGTGTCCGAGTGGATCGAGGTCACGATAGCTCAAGTGGTAGAGCAGCGGCGTATCTAGGCGAAGATTGTGGGTTCGAATCCCGCTCGTGCCATTGACTATTTTATCTTAACTAAAAACTTTAATTAATTGTAATATATTAATTGGTCAAGCGGACCACGAAATTAGTGAATTTAAATTTTTTTAGTGTCAATACTTGATGACTTTACTCTATATAATTTTTAATCAAACTCATGAATTTCTGATCTCATTAATACTGGATGTCCTTTTTAGATGGCCCGGCTGAATTTCTCTTGGACCAATGACACTATAAAAAAAGTTAGTTTAGTTTACAAAAAAAAGTTTAGTTTAAATGTTTACCTTTTTTGAGAAAAATTGTACAGGTTACCTTCTCCAGTTCAACTTCAAAATTTCAAATACGACCCTACAATACTGAGACATCATATTAATGGAATTTTTACGCTTAAAACAGTCGTGCCATCGGATTTTAAATTGGTCTAAAAATGACTACGATTTTTTTATGAAGTTATTTCAACTACGCTTGTAGTTGTTTAATCTCTTATGTGAACCCTCGGGAGCCGGTATTTTTGAAAAAAACCCATTTGTTGGGTTCGAATGGAAAGCCGTTGGACGTTTACCTTACAGCGATGAGCGCCGTGCCAATACCGGTGTAGCGGCTACCGACGCCCTCCAGAAAGGTCCGTGGGGAACTTGTTCTTTAAAATTGAATTCACGCTGAGTGAATTTTGAGTTACGCAGTTTCTCACTCTCACTCTCTCTCTCTCTCTCACTCTCTCTCTCTCTCTCTCTCTCTCTCTCTCTCTCTCTCTCTCTCTCTCTCTCTCTCAACGCCTAAACGTTGCGGCCACCGACACCCCTAATGACTAAGTTATGGCAAAAAGTTTGAAAAACCAGACATTTGGTTTGCGATTTATTAATCACTCTTCATGTTCGAACTGCCTGCGTTGCGTAAAGATGCGAAGATTTGCTCCTTTTAACCACTCTTCACCGGTTCTCAGAGCGATAGAGTCAGGGGAGATGGATTGACAAGCATTTTCTATCCTTTGCCGCAGTTCTTCAATTGAGGTTGCTGGTTTATGATTGGCGTATTGTTTTTTAGTTACATTAGCAGTGAACTTGAATTCATCAGTCCATAGGGTGTATAAAAGAACGTTTTCTTCAGCCTCCTAAATCGACATTTATGCAAGGAACTGTCATAATCAGAGTCCCGATGCCCCCCCCCCCACGATGAGAGTGATACAATGCCCGGAGTACATCTGTAATTCAATTTTTTGAAGCACCTAAATTCCTTCCAACATTTCGGATAAAGGAATTCGGAATTTCGCGAATAACAGTAAAATATTCAATTCCTCGTCAAAATTACGCTGCCGGTTTCTTTTTACCATAACTTTGTCCTTTTTTGATCAATTTAAAATCTGATTGCACCATTGTTTTCAGCGTAAAAATTCATTTAAAATGAGGTGTCAAAATGTATAGGGTCGTTTTTGAAAGTTTGATGTTGAACTGGGACTAAGGAACCCTGCATAATTTTTCTCCAAAAAAGGTAACAATTTGAAATGCGACTAAAAATATTAAACACGTATTTTTTTGTGGTGTCATTGGTTCAAGAGAAATTCAGTCGTGTCATCTAACAAGGACACCCTGTATAACGATAAAAATACATTTAGTACAAAATGCGAGCCTTGAAACGATTTTTTTGACAAAGCATAACACTTACATAGTTATAGTCGATATTTCAAGACATCGTCTCTTTAAAAATTTAGCTTTATTAATGGTTGAATAATTTTTACAAATAATACAATATCAGTTCAGATTTTAGTAAAATGACGAGAGGGGGTAAAAGAACAACTTCACCATCGTCTGATATTAATTTGGCTTATTAGTTTCATCGGACCTACTTTCTTAATGAGTTCCCCGGGGAACACAGGAACAGCGAGTTCGGCCAAATAATACGAGAACTACCTTTAATGGTTGCCGAGAGAAACACGATACACCGGCTGCCATTCTATCCTTGTAATTGTTGTTCAATTAAAAGGTGAACAAAACGAGCGGAATTATTTTCCTTATTTCACCTCGAACTTTTTTTAGGCGTACTCACGTTTGTTTTGAGCAACTCGCCACACCAACAGATCGCAAAAGGTACGATGGTGGTGCAAAGGAGAAAAGGAATGAAGAACCCTTGTTTCGGATCTGTCAGAGGTCTCTGTAATAAAATATTATGATTAATTGAAATTCATTTGTAATATTTAACATTATTCCAATGTCTATCTCAACATGTACGTCAAAATTATTCCATGCTGCACAATAATGAATCAGTATAAACTGACCAAAGCGAAGTATCATAACAGTGCGCACTTACATTCGCCGCGCAACAATTTTTTAGGCAACCGCAATATCGTGTAAAACGTACGAACGGCTTAACGACCCACTATCAATTGGGTGTCATGCATGAGGGGTCAGAACCGTTTTACAATACTGACAAAAATTCAGTGATGTGCAGTGTGTGCGGTTTCACTAGTTGATAGTGTATCAAATTGTTTGACTCAAATGCTTTTTATATGGACATATTATTAGGAAATTTTCTTTTTGAGACTAGGTTTGCAGGTGTAAAGATCCGTAAATTTTATGTAAAAATTGACATCGCTGAGCATATTACATTTGGCTTTTTATTCTCTTTGTTAAAATGTTCTTGTAAAACTAAGACTCAACGGCATATTTAAGATCAATTTCACTCTTCATCTGTCTATTTTTCTTTCTTTCTGTTCATTGCTTTATCTATCTACATGTTTTTCCCTTAATCCCTCTCACTCGCTCTCTCTCTCTCAAAACTCAAAAGAGTCTGCATAAATTGTTTAAAGGTCAACGAGACCCTAACTTTGCATGATTAACTAAGACATTTAATCTCTCTCTCCACCTCTCTCTCACTCACTCACTCTCTCTCTCACTCTCCCTCTCCGATCTTTATATTTCCAAATACTTCGTTTATCGATTTCACCAATCTGAAAATAATTTTATATTCCAAAAGAACGATCATATTTGTTCATATCAATGAATGGAGAGATAACCTCATGATGGTCATATGGCTGTCAATGATATTTCTCATTTTATCTTTCAAATCAACCTGAATATCATCGACTTTGCAATCTTTAACAAGGTTCACAAGATCGATTTCAAGGATCTTCATCAACGCACTGGTGTGGAGTACCAAGCCACAGAATGTCATATAGTTGAATGTGAAAATAATAACTCCGTACAATGTCGTGAATATCTGTAATGGTTTCATCCCATTAGTCAAACGTTGTTGGAACTTTTCCTTATTTTCATCACGACCTGATAGCAAAAACCTGCAATGAAACCTGTGCTTGTGCTGGTGTCGAATGGAAACCATTGCCGCAGAGGCAGACCGCCTTCTGGATTGAAATATCTCGTTATAGCACTGTTTAACAGAGCAGCGAAGACGCATACGCCAAAATTGACAAGAAAAAACTTCTGAATCTTTTCAACTTGTTGACGGCTTTCGGTGAGAATGGCGTTCTTCCATTTGACTGATTTTTCCTTAACAACTCGATCCTGAAATTATGAAATTTTCGAAAATACTGAATAGATATCATGTCGTTATTACAGGTGATATTTTATTTTAAGATTAACCATTGTAGCTTGCAAACCAAGTTTTTCGGGTAAGATTAACCTCAAGAGAATACGATTTTAAATTTACAAATTTTTTGTAACATTAAGCTGTTTTTTTACCATCAATAAGTAATGAGAAAGAAATCAGGAAGATAAACTTACAATTTTGTCATATGAAATAATAAAAATAGTATATATGTTTGCACCATTGGGGCAAAACTGGATAATTCAAATGTTGACAAAATTAGATAAGTGCATATTCCAGTGATTTTTAACACACAAAATTCACAAACAGTTTAATTGATAAAGTCAAGAAAAAAACCTTATACTGTAGGAAAAGTGTTTTGATATTTTATGAACGAACTTTTTTTTGAGCCAGAATTGCACAGATACGTTGAAGATGGTCAAACGCTAAAACGCGACTGATTAAGTGCACTTACGTTAACAAGGCGGTAAGTAGAAATGATTAGGTCTTCCTTGATAAATATAGAAATGATTTTCGTAGCAGAGTTGAAAATAATGATTGCCGTGACGAGGGATTCCGTGCTGTATATCAGCCCTTCGGAAAAAACCGCTTCCAATAAAAGCTGCACCGGCGTGATGCATACGACTAACATGCTTACGAAAGTCTTCAACCAGGCTTGGAAATTTCTTGACTTCGACCTCATGCTGAAGCCCGTCATGTAGAATAATTTCTCCTGCTCGGAAAAGAAGCCGTCGTCGAAGAGCTGAGCCATATTTCTGCCTCGAAATACACTCGGGGATTATTGCATAATTCCTTAGATGAACTCATGGGGGTGGGAAAACATTTAATTAAACCCCTTCAATGTCAGAAAGTTAGCGATTCTGGGATGAACAGGGTAGTTGCAAACTTTTTTTGCCAGCTAGCTAATTATATCATTTATTATGTGCTTGGGCCTTTTTGAAAAATATATCGGCCAATGTGGTCATTGATTAAATAATCTAAATGCAAAATTACAAAAGAATTTATTAGCGATTTACCTTTTTTTTTGTTCACTATTCTTGTTATGCTGGAGTAGACTGTTATTAGTTCCTTATTAAAGAAGGAAGTGAAGTTTTGGTTTATATAAAATAATTTATGATAGATATTAATCCCGAATAATAAAAATATATTTAAACAAAGTTTATTCAAGCAGAAAGTGATTCTGAGCTTATAGCAGCCAAGTAAAAACAAGGAAAACGTCAAATGCGTCTTGCAACATTTTATTCTTCGACCCGGATAACTTGTGGGAAAAGTTTTCAAATTCCGAAGACCCTGATTAAAACCATTATCCAAAGTAATCCCTGGTCTTTCGTATTTCTACAGGCGGGATGTGTTTTGGTTTTATCTCGAGACAGTATTTTAAAAGTCAGTTTTCCCCCTTCGGATTCTTATCTCTCATCTACCCCTTTGCAAATGGCCGTTTCGCCTTTTTTCTTGATGTCTTTTATTATTTTCTCTCTGATCCAATGAATTATTCCTCTTTAGAAACCCTTTGTCCGATTCAAAGGGATGATCTGATGATTTATTAATTGGGTGTTGATTTGACGAAATGGAAAAAAGTCTTCTTTTTTCTTGTAGTAGACATTTTATATTCTCAAAATCCAAAGTTTACGACTGTTCATAATGGAAAAAAATAAAATTCACTTAACAAACACTCAAATATTAAAAAAATAAATTTAAAAAATGAACTGTTCAGATATTCATCGAAATTTGTTTTCACTGAAATTTTCACGGGTTATATTTAAATGAATACTTCAAGGTAAAATTTGTTACAGTTCGTTAGGATTTTCATCCACGACATTAAAAATGAATGCCAGTGTAAACAGTGCCGATGCATACGACCGACGATAAGAGAGGAATTTTATTTAATAATATATAACGCAAATAGTTTATTGAAACGTATAATCCGCCAGAGAAAATTGCATGAAAACCGTATAAAACTCCTGTGTGGTTATTTATATATATTTAGAAAAAAAGCTTAACCCTTCAGTGCTTTATTTGTATAAAATATTCCAGTGATATTTTCATCTCTGTAATTTCTTTCTCTTTCTTTCTCGTACTGTCATCTACATTATTTTCAAAATATTTTTGGAACAATCCATTAACACTATTTAACAACTTAAATTTGAACTTGAACCGGCACAGGTTCAACATGAGTTCACCGACTCGCAGACCAAAACCCATAATCAAAAGCATAAACTTTAGTCAGAAACTTAGGTTACTTGTAAAACCTTGTCTTCTTTAGTGATTTTATATGGGGTTTGCTGTTGGTTAAAAAAATAACTCCTTATCAGTTTTCATATTGTTTTTGGACAGCTGTAAATTGGAGAAAGTTTTGACCATTACTGACCCTGGTGTAATTTTCGATAATAAATGTTCCTTTATTACCTCATATTGATTTCATTATTTCTCGGTCTTTCAAAAATTTGGCTTTTCTTATGAGAAATGTTCAGGACTTAGGAATATTTCTGCCATTAAATGCCTCTACTTCGGCCTATTGAGGCTTGGTGGATTGTGCCTTGGTTTGGTATTCTTGGGCTCGTGGTCAAGTCCGTATCCAATGTGCCCAGCGTTGATTCTTGATATTGTTTGTATTTCATGTAAAATGGGTCTCAATGGGTCGAATCCAGTATGAGCTCTCGTTGGATACATGCGGTCTCTTTTCATTGGAAGTTCGATCCATCGTGTTGGGTCTATGTAACTGTTTCTTTGCCTGCACTGAAAAATCATCAACCATTTTATCCAAATATTCACCGGACAGTGTACGCTAGGTATGGAAGTCTCATTCATCTTCAGGGAAGTTATAATGAGATTTGTAGTAAGTGTGACATAGAAATATTCGGGTTGATTATTTATTTTAAAAGGAATTGTGTATATTTCAAATGTAAATAATCATAAATAGTATAATACATAATTGTCTTCACTATTTGGGATAATTCCTGTAATTGATCGTAAAGAATAAAAAGACAAATGATTCACACAGGCTTTCCAATAGCTCGGTCCATTGGTGTAAACGAATTTAAGGAGGATTAACACTTTATGAGATACGAAGGACTTTAAATAATAAAGTTATGAATTAACGTGAAAACTGACCTCCTTAGCTACAACGGAGAATTACACTTTTAACAATAAAGATCTTTCATTCCAATTTAACATGGATTCATTTACCTCCCGAAGTATTGACGTCTGTTCACAGGACATCCATATATATGCCACAACACGTATAAAATTTATGTGGTCATACGTTATAATTCAAATCTTGCAATTGTACATGCAATTCTAATTACATGACCCTTGCTGAATGCTATCATCATCAATAAATATGTAGGTCAAATTAATTAATTCTATAACATGTATCAACAGTATAGTAACTCAGTTAACTTAAGGTTTATTCAACTGGATGCAAATCCAGGTGAAAATCATTATCCAAAGCGTTTCGCTTTTAAAATTGATAAACATAAAATATCTTCCAGAGGATGAAAATTATTGAAAAACGAGAGTTGGCTTTGTGTCCCTGGGACACGCTGATAAATATGTATAGTGGGATGTCTTGTTAGGTCGAAGACCGGGAGGGCATAGTGTATTCAAATGAGACCTCACTTACCAATCAATTCGCCCGTCCCTGTCGGTATAATTTTTTCCTTGTTATCTCTTGATAAAGGGCCTAGCACTAATGAAATCCCAGTGCCACGTGACTGGAATCACCGCGGAAATTAAAAGCCTGCATTTCATCGCAAACAATTCGATCCATATGGCCGAGCCATACTAGGATGCTGTAAGAAGAGTAAGAAATATAATAATGTTCCGATTGAAAAGTTAAAAAAATTAAACCGGCCACATTCATTCATACTTCAAAAAGTGTAATACGACTTTTAAAAAAATCAGCACTAATGCATGTTTTATTTCAAACAAATGACCTCCAGTGCATGTTTTTAAGTTGAAAAATATCTTGAAACTAAATAGTCAATAAAAAGTAGTCGTTAGTAAAATCTCATTTAAACTGAGATCATTTTGAAAATATTTGGATTTGTCAATAAAATATCACGTTTTCTCTCGGCACTCAGCAATGCGCGTGCTTACAGCAAATTATATATTTTTATTGTAATATACAATATTTGATTGCATTTGTACGAGGCCTGGTAATAATACACACATGGTCATCAACTACTATTTTATTATACTATGTTACATATTCCCGGAATCATATTAAAAAACCAATAATTAAATTATCAATCATTCCCTCAATACGAAAGATCCCAGGGTTAAGACATCAAAGACGTTTAAGACGTATCTCTATCTCCTCTCTCTCTCTCTCTCTCTATTTTTTTTCTTTCACTGCCTCCCTATTTTTCTCTCTTTCTTTCTATTACTTTTCCTTTCTTTTTCTCTCTCTTCGTCTCATTCTTCCTCTCACAAGTTATGTTTATCCACCCGTCTGTCTGCTTGTTTCTCTACCTCCTTTTCTTCACTCTCCCGCTCTCCTAATCTATCTATCTAACTTTCTGTCTATATCTATCTATCCATCTTTTTATCTATCTATTTACCTATCAACCTGTCTATCTATCAGTTTTGTGTCCTCTCATTCTCTCTCTCCTCTCTCTCTCTCTCTATATATATATATATATATATATATCCAACTATCTCTCTCTCTGTCAGCATGTCTGTTTCTCTTTCTTGCTCTCTCACTCTCTCTCTATATGTCTCTCTATCTCTTTTATTTATTTTTCTGTCTATTTCACACCCTCTTTTTTTCTCCCCCAAATTTCACTTACCCTTTAACATACTCAACAAGATAACAATGACATAATATCAATATGTTTACACAGTTAATAGATGATTTACGACTAAGGATTTATACTAATTATTAAGCTAAATGTACAAGTAAAAACTTTAAATCACATTGTCTTGTCGGAATATATACAGTATAATAAATCTCAGTCGGATTGTAATTACTTGGTCAATGTAATTTTAGTGTATTTATGTGAGTTGATATTTATTTAGCTAAGCATGGGCGAACTTTATTACGACGTGAATATGATTATGTTGATATCATTATTATTCGTGCTTTTAAATAGGTTGTTAACTAAATTGATACACAGCTTTATTTCTATTGATGTAACGTAAAAACAAACTAAATTCTGATTGTAAGAATTTTATCCCAGTCTTAGATAACCAGAATGATGTAAATAAAAGTTAAATAATTGCTTAGGAAAATGTCAATTTTGGAAAAGAGCGATTATTTGTTTTAATTGAAGGAACAGTTAGGTGTATTACTGTTATTTATTTTATTGTTATTTTTTTGGGCGATATTCAAATGATATATCCACGTCGCTGTGAATATATTTGTATATTTTCATTTTAAACGTCGCTCTTGAGGGGGGTTATCAATGTAAATTGACGGTTTTACGATTGTAACGAGCCTCCCGGCCGCCATTAGTCGGCTCTCTCGGAACATTGGACAAATTTAGAGTTATTTACTACCGACTGCATTGTCATCAATAACCGCCGGCTCAATTAGTCGGCGGGGCACGCACCTGATAGTTGTATTATTGGAAATGTTTGCCTAACCAGGACATACTGGCGGATTTTGGCATGCAATTCTACCCAACCCCAAGGGTAAATCAGGTTCCTCCTCTAATCATGACTACGACGAGGGACATTCTAGTAATAATAACTGACTGCTATTTGTTGACCCGAGTCAATAATTGTGTTCTGAAAGTCGTTCGACATTTTAAAAATCAAAAAAATCAAGGGTTGATCGTCTATCTAATTATTTTATATTCAATTGATCTATTATGTTTTTTTAGAACAATACTGCATTACATGGAGCTCACTGAATGAAT